ACCTCAAAATTCCGGGGACTGGCTGTTCCAACAATGGTTCCTGGAATCCATTTGGCTCATTTGCCAAAATTACGAACAAAAACTGCTTGGTTTGGTGTAAACTGGGGTTTTTTATCAAGGTTGTCTTGAAAAACCTCCTGTTTAGAACTTTTGGCTCTCAGTGCACTGAATCTAATTCTAGGCTGTCTGTTCATAAGTAATTCTGAGGGTGATTTCCCTAACGTGGTGGGTGTAGCCCTGTAAGTCAACAAAAACCTGTCTAATTTTGTTTGCACAGACTCGCCTGTATCTCCAATCTTGCCCTCATAGCGTTCTGCTAATCCATTTGTAGCAGGATGTCCTTGAGCAGTGAGAGTATGAAGGACGTCGTTTTCTCTTAGAAATTTCTGGAATTGATGACTCGTAAACTGAGTCCCATTGTCCGTTACCAGATGTTCTGGTAAACCAAAGTAACTAAAAATTTGTCTCAAAGCAGTAATAGTGTTGGTGCTGGTGGCATGAGTCACGGGTACTATCTCCAAAAATTTGGAATAAGCATCCACCACGACCAAAAACATCTTGCCAAGATAAGGCCCAACAAAATCTACATGTAATCGTTTCCATGGTCCGCCTGGCCAGGACCATGAAGCAGTTGGGGCGGATGCTAGCGATTTAGTAGATTCTTGACAAGCAGGACATAATTTAACTGTCTCCTCAATTTGCTTATCAAGTCCAGGCCACCAAAAGTATTTTCGAGCTAATTGTTTCATTTTGACCATACCCAGGTGTTCTGCATGCAGATCGGCCAATAAGAGAGCCTGTAACTACTCTGGTACAACAACTCGCGAGTTCCACAGGAGGATTCCATCTTCATGAGAGAGTTCAAGCCTTTTGCTGTAGTAAGGTTGGAACACTGGTTCCAGATTATTGGGCCAACCCTGCTGAGTAAACTGTAACACCTTTCCAAGAACTGGGTCTCTCATGGTTTCCATAGCAACCACGGACGCATTTAAAAACTGGTCTTCTTCGATAAATATCACATTTACAGTTACCTCTTCTGCAGCAGACTGCTTGTATTCCGTAGGCTTCCTAGACAAAAAATCTGCAAACACATTGTCTTTGCCGCCTATGAATTCAATTGTATAGTCATAAGCAGCTAAAAGTAATGCCCATCTTTTGATCCTTGCTGCTGCCAACACGGGTACGGGCTTGTGTTCCCCAAGTAAAGTAATCAAAGGTTTATGATCTGTTAGGAGTTTGAAGTGTCTACCTAACAGGTACTGGCGATATTTGGTCACGTCAAAAACAATTGCTAATGACTCACGTTCAATTTGGGAGTAATTTCGTTCTGCATTGTTTAGTATCCTCGATGCATAGGCAACAGGTTGTAATGCACCATCAGGTCCAGGTTGCAGTAATGCAGCTCCCACACCCACTGAAGAAGCATCACACTGTAGAACTAATTCAGCCATAGGATCATAGTGACGTAAAACCGAATCAGACCACAGAGCAACCTTGATGTTATCAAAAGCGTCCTGTTCCAGTTTTGACCAACTCCATGGTGCCTCCTTCCGAAGTAATCCGTACAAAGGTGAAGCCAACTTTGCAAAATCCGGCACAAATTTACGTAGAAAATTGGCTGATCCAAGGAATGACTGTAATTCAGAAACATTTGTTGGAGGTGCTGCATCCTTTATTGCCTGCACTTTCTCTGCAGTCGGTGAAATCCCGCAGCAGAAATGGTAGTACCAAGATACTCTACTTTATCCCGCATGAAAAAGAATTTATCAGGGTTAAGCTTAAGATCGCAGTCCTGTAATCGAGTTAGTACTCGATGAAGGTTTTCCAGATGGACTTCATCTGATTCTCCGGAAATAAGGATGTCATCAATACGGACACAGCAGCCTGGAAGGTCCTTAAGGACATTTTCTATAGTGCCTTGGAAGATTGACACAGCACTACTCACTCCAAAAGTCAGGCGCTTGTATTGATATAAGCCTAAATGAGTGTTAATTGTGGTGTATTTTCTGTTTTCTGGCGTAAGCTCTAGTTGATGGTATGCTTGAGAAAGGTCAATCTTGGTGAATTTTTTTCCCGCAGATAATGTACTCGGTAGTTCCTCCAGAGGTGGTATGGGGTATTGTTCCAAGACTGAAAATTTGTTGATGGTGACAGAGTAGTCCCCACAAATTCTGGAGGTGGAGTTCAAATTCCAGAGACGTTATTGCAAGCTCTCCTCTCGCACCGGAGAGCTTGCCCCAAGGCTCGATTATCATAATCATGATTATCATGATTGTACGTAATAAATGGTAATGGATAAGAGTGCCATCCTTCTAATGCTAAAGATCGTTTTTACTCACGTGGTGGCGGCTATACAAACTTATTGCCCCCAAAGAAACCGTTCACATTACCCTGCGAACCGAGTCTCCTTCCGGATGTTGCGTTGGCTAGCAGAGCTCCCGGTACTTCTTCCAAGTATTTTTCTTCTTACAACAGATGGAGGTCTTAGGCACGAGAACAT